CGTCTCCGTCTCCGTCTCCGTCTCCGTCTCCGTCTCCTCCTCTCTCCTCCTCCTCCTCCTCCTCCTCCTCCTCCTCCTCCTCCTCCTCCCTCCTTCCCTCCCTCCCTCCCTCCTCCTCCCTCCCTTTCCTCCCTCCCTCCCTCCCTCCCTCCCTCCCTCCCTCTCCTCCCTCTCCCCTCCCCCCCTCCCTCCCTCCCTCTCCCTCCCCCTCCTCCTCCTCCTCCCTCCTCCTCCTCCTCCTCCTCCTCCTCCTCCTCCTCCTCCTCCTCCTCCTCCTCCTCCTCCTGCAGGAGACAAGTCACGCACACCCACCCCCTCTGTTCAGGCCGAGCTCCGCGATGCAGATGTACGGCCCCAGGACGACCCGGTAGTGCGCCTCCTCGCGGCGGCCGCCGCTGCCTCCTCGCCGAGGAGGGCCGCTTCGTCGCGCGCCAGCGAGCGGAGGTGCCGAAGGGCTGCCTGCCCATGCCGGCCGCCCGTCTCGAGGGCGAGCGGCACCATACCCCACGGGGTGCGGCCCGCGGGGTAGCGCCGCTGCTTGTCGGCCTCGGCCTCGGCGTTCACCGCGCCGTCGCGGCCGGCCGCGGCAGCCAGGGCGCGGGCGTCGCCTGGCACGCAGTAGCGTACGGTGACGTCGACAAACAGCCTGGGGCAGCCCGCCCGCTGAATGTCGAGGTCGAGGATGGCTTCCTCCCTTTCCGCCTGCAGCGCCGCTCCGCAGCGGCCGCAGGGCCCCGCCGGCCGGTCTGGCGTGCGCCCGCTCGTGTCGCAGCTAGGGCAATGCCAGCGCCAGCGGTCCCATGCCGGGACGTGCTTCTGGTAGTCCACGCGGTAGCCGCACTCCGCGTGGATGCGGCCCCAGGCGCGCTCCAGGTCGCCGCTGCGTGCCTTGAGGCCGCCCCCGCGGGCGCAGCGCCAGGCGTGGCGCGCCCGGTCGCCGAGCGGCTCGTCGCAGCGCTGCCCGGCGCGCCCCCCTGTGCGCGCGCGGTTGCAGCAGGTCGCGCCAGGGGGCGCCGCGGCTTGGCCGAGCAGCGTTCGCGCCGTGCTGCAGTAGTCGGCGTCGTCCAGCCGCTGCGCCTCCAAGCCAGGCGAAGCACTCTGCCAAGCGCCGGCGTGCGGCCCGCCGCAAGAGCGGAAGAGCGCCTTCGCTTCTGGCTCCAGAGCCCCCAGCAAGGTGTCGTAATTTTTCTTGCCGATCCTTGCTGTTAGGGTCTTCTGGAGCTTCCGCTGCGGCGTCTGTGCCAGCGTCTGCCAGGTGGGTAGTTCGGGGGGCTCTGCGCCCGGGCGAGGCGGCGGCGGTGCTAGCCGCGCGAGCCCAGTCAGCGCGGCGCAGCAAGCCCGAGCGAAGGGCAGGGGGCAGGTTTCGAGGTCGGCAAGGCAAGCGAGCCCCGTGCGTTCCCTCACCCTGCTCAGGTTCTGTGCCCAGGAGCCAGCCCAGGCCGCCGGCGCGAGTTGTCGCTGGCTGCGGAAGCCGCGTCCGCCGGTGCGCAGCGGCAGTCGGCACTGGGCTTGCTGCGTCTCTGTCAGCGGGTCCAGGCGCGTGAGCTCCGTGTAAGCAGCCAGCAGGGCGTCGTCGTACGCCCCGGCGGCGGCCGCCGAGGTCGCCGGGGTGTTCGTGCGGAGGAGGTGCGTCAGCTTGCTGGCCCCGGTGTGCCTGAGCAGCAGCGCGGCGGTCTGTCGGGCCGGCAAGTGCGGCGAGGCTTCCGCGGGGAGGGCCGCCAGCCTGGCAAGCAGTTCAGCCGCGCGCCCCGCCGTCTCCGCGCAGCGCTCCGCCGCGTAGGCTTCCTCGCCGAGGTCCACCCGGCGCGCGTCGCTCTCGTCCGGCAACCCTGCGGGGGGTAGCGGTCCTCCCAGGGGGGCCCCCACGAGGGTGAGGCCTCGCGCGCGCCACTGCTCCTCCAGTCCTGGAGGGCAGGCTGCCCCCGCGGACCAAGCCTGCGTTTTCCTGGGTTCCAGCTCAAGGCCCAAGCCGCCGAGGGCCCCCTGCGCGGCCGCCTGTACCCGGCCCGCAAGCGCCGAGGGAACCAGCACGACGACATCATCCAAGTAGGCGAGGACGTGGACGTCGTCTGGGTTAAGCCCCTGCCCCCGGGCCGCCTCTCGCAAGTCGTTTTCCAGGGCGGGCAGGTGCGGCCGCAGCCCGCAAGCGAAGAGCAGCGGCGCGAGCGGGTCCCCCTGGTCCACCCCGCCAGTGGAGCGAAGGCGGTGGCAGACCCCGGCCGCGTCCCAGAAGTAGTACTGGGACTCGCGGCGGCAGAAGAGGTTGGCGTAGGGGAGCAGATCCGGCGCTACCTCCTCCAGGCCGCGGAGGCAGGCCTCCCGGTGGGCAGAGCAGTAGGCGTTCTTGGCGTCCAGCGCCACTAACACCAAGTCGGGGTTTGCCTCCGCCAGAGCCCGAGCAGTGTGGGCTAGCAGTTCGGTGCCTGCAGCAGTGCCCACGGCAAACTGCTGCCTCCCGAGAGCCTCGGCCAAGTCCTCCTTCCGGGGAGTCACCAGTGCCCGGCCCACCAGCCGCCGCAAAATATTCGGAGCGGCGATGGGCCTGACCCCGCCGCCCGGCTTCCGCAGCGGCGTGAGCTTCGCCAGCGCCAAGGCCGCGGCGGTGCTTTCGGGGACCCGGCCCTCTGCCAAGCGGTCGCAGACGCCGCAGAAGGCCGCCAGGGCTGTTGGCTGGGCGAGCACGACCCGCCAGTGCTCGAAGCGCCCGCCGCCGGCCGCCGCGCCGCTGCCCCGGCCTCCTCCTCCTCCTCCTCCTCCTCCTCCTCCTCCTCCTCCTCCTCCTCCTCCTCCTCCTCCTCCTCCTCCTCCTCCTCCTCCCCCCGCCTCCTCCTCCTCCTCCTCCTCCTCCTCCTCCTCCTCCTCCTCCTCCTCCTCCTCCTCCTCCTCCTCCTCCTCCTCCATCCTCCTCCTCCTCCTCCTCCTCCTCCTCCTCCCTCCTCCTCCTCCTCCTCCTCCTCCTCCTCCTCCTCCTCCCTCCTCCTCCTCCTCCTCCTCCTCCTCCTCCACCACCTCGAGCCGGAGAACGGCCCGAAGAAGGAGCCCCTCTCGAGCCCACAAAGGTCTTTCATGCAGCGCCTTGACCTTCAAAGGCCCTCCCCCGCCGCGGGAGCTGGGAGGGTCCCGGTACGGGAGAGCCGCAGGGCGTGGCAGGGGCAGCACCGCCGCCAGGTGTCGCCAAAGGTGCCTCCAGCCGAGGGTGTCCCCAGGATATGCAGGGAGGCCCCCACGGCCTCCAGAGGCCCCCCCCCAAGAATCTCAGAGGGCACCATGGGGCTTCAGGATGGCGGGGGAAGCTGGAGGCACCTTGGTCCAGGGATCTTTTGACAGGGCGACGGCGCCCTGGGGTGCTATCCGACTCCAGCCGAGCAGCCGATCGGCTGATCGGCTGGTCGACCGCTGATCGGCTGATCGGCTGATCGGCTGGCCGAGCGCTGATCGACTGACCGGCTGATCGGCCCCAAGACGGCCCAAGAGGTCGCCAAGACGCCCAATCTGGAATCCAAGACGGCCCTGAAACGCCCCAAGAGGGCCCCAAGTCGGTTCAGAGAGGCCTCCAAGGCAACTGCCGTCGCAATGTACTTTGAGCAACCCCCGAACCCAGACCACCGACGTCGCGAAGTTTTCGCAACGTGGACACCAAGAGGTCTCGACCCATTCCCTCGGACCGGGTTTTCATCCCGAGCCGCTTCATGACGGCCCTGGGGCCCGGCGAGGGCCCCCAGATGACCAGAAACCTTATGTGCTGTTTTTGTTCAACGAGCCGTACCGATACGACGGTCTCCCAGCAAGTCCAAAACAGCACAACGAAAGAATCGAAGCGGCATTGGCACCTCATTGGGGCCCCAAAAGCGTGTGGTGACGGACCGCGTGGTGACCTCGGAATCCCCGACGACCTCACCGCGCGGCCCGTCACCACACGGTGCTGGGACCTCCGAGGCCCCAGTCGCCCGAGACGTCCTCGGAGACCCGAGTTCCAAAACCGCGCGGTGACCCGGAGCCCCCACCAGAAGCCTCCCAGATCGCATGCGAGTAGAAGGGTTCGGGGAATCGCGCCACGTCGCCGATGCATCGCCGATGCATCGGCGATGCACTGGTGACGCTGGCGATGCGTCGGCGACGTCGGCGTGGAGAAAATCGGGCTCCACATCGAGCCGCATCGGCGATGCATCGGCGATGCGGCGCGATCCTTCGGCCCCACCTACTCCGACCCCAACTGGGCGGCCTGAACACACCCCCTCACCACACGGCGTGGTCACCACACCGTGGGGGGACCCCCGGAACCTCTCCCTCCTCCGCCGAACTGCGCGCGGAGCGGCCCCGGGGGGGGGGCGCGCCTGGCCGCCGGCGGCGGCGGCGGCCACATCGCACCTCGCCGCGACCAGCGCCGCGACGGCAGGTGCGCCCGCCACGTCCAGGCAGCCGCCGCCCGCGCCATCGACCGGGCTCGGCCGCGCGCCCCGGGACGGCAGACCCCCTCGCGGCATGGAAAAAAACACGACGGGGGGCGGTTTCGCTGCTTTTGGCCGCTGGGGGCCCTGCCCGGCCCTCGGGGCCGTCAAAAACCGACTCGCGATGAGAACTGGTCCTGGGAAGAGGAGGAGGAGGAGGAGGAGGAGGCGGAGGAGGAGGAGGAGGAGAGGAGGAAGAGGAGGAGGAGAGAGAGGAGGAGGAGGAGGAGGAGGAGGAGGAGAGGAGGAGGCGGAGGAGGAGGAGGAGAAGGAGGAAGGAGGAGGGGAAGGATGAGGAGGAGGAGGAAGAGCAGGAGGAGGAGGACGACGAGGAGGAGGGAGCCTCCGCCATCTCCTGCTCCCTCTGCTCCTGCCCCCTCCTCCTCCTCCTCCTCCTCCTCCTCCTCCTCCTCCTCCTCCTCCTCCTCCTCCTCCTCCTCCTCCTCCTCCTCCCCCTCCTCCTCCTCCTCCTCCCCCTCCTCCTGGACTTCTGGGGGTCGCGTCGTGAAAAAACCATGACGTCGGGGGTCCGGGACAGCAGCAGAGCCGCGACGCCCACGGAGCCCGAGGCCGCCGCCTCGCGCAGGGCGGTGCAGCCCTCGGCGTCCTCGCAGTCCACCTGCTGCGGCGCTCCGCGGGCCCAGAGATCGCCGACGGCATGATCTCTGCGATCCGGGCGCTCTTTCCCTCGATGTCGGCCAGGGATCGACCTAGACGTATGATGTTCCAGCGTAATTACTTTAGCCTTGATCACCAGAAAGGGTTTTCACGTGTCGGGCCCTGGGAGACGATTGCCCGACACTGTTTCGACACTCTTTCGACACTCTTTCGACACTTGTGCGGGCGCTCGAAATTATTTCTGGGATGCGGTCCTTAAGTAAGATGGGAACAACATAAGCGTAGACAGCGGTTCTCGTGTTCGCCTTGGTTCCGTGTTCCCCCGTTGTGTTGTCAATCAGCCTTTGCTGCGAGACGAAATCGAAGCGAGAACGGCCGACGAGAGCGCCAAAACACCGTTCACGTCGACCCCTGATGTCGGCCTCGAGCGCGCTTTTTACGATTCGCGATGGCGGCATTTCCCGAGGATGCACCGCCCCCCACCTGGTAACGTCAGGGTTCGCGCCAGCGCTGCTTGGAATTGCTAGGGGAAGCTGACTCCCAGACGGCGCCGGCGCGAATCGTGACTTTACCGGCCCCCTCGCCCCCTCCCACCCACCAATGATGGCCGTTACCGCAAGGGGATAAACAGGGGCCCCTCCGGGTCCCTTTCCCGGGCCCCAGGACCACGTCAAACGAATCCCAGCGAAAGGCTATACCCCAGAGGAGGGGGTCGGGAATTCTGGGGCCGCGAACTGGGCGTCCTCGGCGTCCTTTCAGTCCACCTGCTGCCCCGCAGGGGTCAGAGACCCACGCGCTCTGAAACAATCACGACGGGCGGTTTAGTCTCATTTTCTGCCTCTGGGGCCCTCCCCGGGCCCCAGGACCGTCGAAAAACGGCTCGCGATGAAAAACCAGCCCAGGGGAGGTCGGGACTTCCAGGGATCGCGCAACGCGCGGTTCTTGCAAATTTTCTGCCTGTGGAGTCCATCGACTGGGCCCAGGACAATCAAAAGACGTCTCGCGATGAAAAACCAGCCCCGGGGAGAGAGTCTGAACTTCCAGGCACCGCGCAACGGTCGGTTTTTGCAAATGTTCTGCCTCTGGGGACCCCTCCCTGAACCCAGGATCGCAAAAAAAACGGCTCGCGATAAAAAACCGGCCCCTGGGAGAGGGTTGGGACTTCCAGGGACCGCGCAGCGGGCGGTTTTTGAAATTTTCTGCCTCTTGGGACCCTCACCAAGCCCCAGGACCGGCAAAAAACGACTCGCGATGAAAAACCGGCCCCAGGGAGAGGGTCGGGATTTCCAGGGGCCGCGCGTTGAGAAAATCAAGACATCGGATGCCTGTTTCCACAAGGGAGGCTTCCAGCACGCAGGGGGCATCCGTGTTCCCCGAGAGGGGGAGCAGCAGGACGCAGCGGCTGCCCTCGCTGGCGTTCGCCCCAACTGCTTGGACCTCCCGGGGGCTTCTCGTCGCCACGACTGGATCCGCCGCGACAGGCAAGCCGGGATGGACCGCGGGAGCGGTCTGGGGTCCGGGGAACGGATTTGGGCCGGGTGGGAGTGCCGCCGTTGCCCCACTCCCTCTCAGCCCAAACCTGGTGAAGACTCGTGAAGACCGGGGGACATGCAATCCGGGGTCAGTCAGGCTCTGCAGGATCCTGTGAGGTCCTGCAAGATCCTCCAAGATCCTGCACGCAGGCCTGGGTCAGTGGTCATTGCGCCCCTGGCTGTGCAAAATCCTTCAAGATCTGGCGCCCTGGCTGACCCCCGATTGCATTGACTCCCGTCTCAAGGCTCCCGGAAAATCGGTCCCCCGGCCCCTCCCGGTCCATCCTGGCCCGTTTTGCCGGACAGATCCAGCCGTGGCGACGAAAAGCCTTCAGGGGTACCAGGAAGGACGGAGAAATGTGAGGGAGGGCCTCCTCCTCCCTTTCTCCTCCTCCTCCTCCTCCTCCTCCTCCTCCTCCTCCTCCTCTTCCTCCTCCTCCTCCTCCTCCCCCTCCTCCTGCTTCTGCTCCTTCGCCTCCACCCCATCGACGGGGTCCCCGAGCCTCCTCGGAGCGGCCCCGACGTCAAGAATCCCCAACCCAAACCCCGCAAACAGCTGAGACTCGCACGAAGAAGCAGGATGGCGAGGATCAAATCGAGTTGGGTCTCATCTTGGTGCGTTTTCTGATGGTCCCGCGGGGAGGGAGTAAGAGCAGGAGGAGCAGCTGAGCAGGAGGAGGAGGAGGAGGAGGAGGAGAAGAAGGAGGACGGGGAGGGAGGAGCGAGGAGAGGTGTGGAGGGAGAAGGGCAAATGGAGGGGGAGGGAGAGGAGGAGGGAGGAGGAGGAGAAGAGGAGGAGAAGAAACAGGAGGAGGAGAAGGGATGCGGAAAAGGGATTCGGAGGTGAAGGAGAGGACGGGGGATAAGGAGGAGGAGGAGGAGGAGGAGGAGGAGGAGGACAAGGAGAAGGCCTCCAGAGGCAAGGATTTGCATATTTTTATAGATGTATATTGATACCTGTAGAACCATAGTATACGTATGCTTTTTAAGAACAACCTATATATATACAAAACCAAATGACCGTCTCGATTTGTTCGAGACGCCGGATGTTTGGACGCCTCCCCAAAAGATCCACCACCAGACTTGTCCTGCGGTGCGGCTTGACCACACTCTCGAGCGGCACCCAGCCGTGGCGACAGGCGCGCCCGTTGAGGCACAAAAAGACCCCAAAACGTCAGAGAGCATCTGTTCTCGATCACTCCGCATCCTCCTCCTCCTCCTCCTCCTCCTCCTCCTCCTCCTCCTCCTCCTCCTCCTCCTCCTCCTCCTCCTCTCCTCCTCCTCCTCCTCCTCCTCCTGCTACTCCTCCTCGTCCTCCTCCTCCTCCTCCTCCTCCTCCTCCTCCTCCTCCTCCTCTTCCTCCTCCTCCTCCTCCTCCTAGGGTGGACGCGCACGCTTTTTTTGACAGTTTGCAACAGTTCAAGGGTTCGCACGGTGGATGTCCTAGGGATGGCGTTCTGGCAAAATTCAGGATTGTCAAAGCCACAGTCACAGGAAACAACAGTCACGTTGACTCGCGACTCTGAAGTGCAAGGAGTGGTGTTGTGACACGATTGAGGATTCTCGGTCGCTTGCTTTCCAGTGGAGCGCTTCCCACAATGGACATTCATATTTGTAGGGCCTTATGAAGAGGACACTTGCAGGGAGGGCTTAGTGCAACATCGTTGATGCGTCTTGGGTTTACACTCTCGCAGCACCGTCGGGCGTCCCCGACCCACGCCGCCGCGCCGCCGCGCGCGCTGGCGCGCCGCGGGCGGGAGGCGCGGGGGCCCTCCGGTCCACCGGGGGACCATGCTTCCGAAGCAGGGGGAAGCCATGGGAAAGGCCACCAGCCCATCCTCTGTCCTGAGGCCCATAGAGAGGGAAGAGGGATGAGGAGCAGCGGCCGGGCTTGGCTTTACACCAATCCTTCCCCTCCTCCTGCCTCTCCTCCTCCTCCTCCTGCCTCTCCTCCTCCTCCTCCTCCTCCTCCTCCTCCTCCTCCTCCTCCTCCTCCTCCTCCTCCTCCTCCTCCTCCTCCTCCTCCCCTCCTCCTCCTCCTCCTCCTCCTCCTCCTCCCTCCTCCTCCTCTCCTCCTCCTCCTCCTCCTCCTCCTCCTCCTCCTCCTCCTCCTCCTCCTCCTCCTCCTCCTCCTCCCTCTCCTCCCCCTCCCTCTCCTCCCCCTCCTCCTCCGCTTCGCCCCGCCCGAGGCCTGCGCCCCAGCGTCCAGCAGGCACCTCGCGCAGGCGGGGTCCCCCAGCCGCGCCGCCAGGAACAGCGCAGTCCGCCCCTCCGCGTCGCGGTGGTCCGGGGAGCACTTCGCCTCCATCAGGTTTCGAATGGGGGATCGACCTCAGAATTGATCAACGCATACATTGATGTTTTCCGTCGAATCTCCTGAAAATACGTAGAATGTTCCGTGGATCTACAGAACCTATTACGCATTGTCAGTAGACTCGACACAAAATAAGTACATATGTAGTCGATTGCGCAAGATGGCGTAGCGACCTTACGCGGCAGCTTATGTGGGCCACCGGAGCGGCACGCCATGTTGGAGACGAGGACGCCTGCGCGCGACCTTACTGGGGAGTTTACGCGCTAATGTCCAGTTGGACGCACATGTGGGGTCTGATTTGAGCTGTCTTGGAGGGTTCCGGGGGGGTCTGGGCAAAAGGCCGTCCACTCGTGGCTGGTTTGGGGGGGTTCTAGAACTGCTCGTCTGGAAGGGTTGTGACCCCCTTCCTTTTACGACGAAATGTGGAATGGGCATTCGTTAGCGATATGAGCGACATGCTGAGCAGGGGGGGGGGGGGGACAAAAAAAAACGGCATAAGCGTGGAACTGTCAAAGGATCGCGCGGACCGAGGCGCCGCGGGGGGGGACCAGCTCCGATTACAGAATTTATGATCATGCCGTTTCCTCTGAGCGCCCCCCCGCCCCTTAAGCCGCAGGGTTCGGTCCTACTCCCTCCGCCCCTCGTTAGCGTGCTTGTCCTCCCTCCTCCTCCCCGTCCTCCCCGTCCTCCTCCTCCTCTTCCCACTCCTCCTCCTCCTCCTCCTCCTCTTCCTCTTCCCACTCCTCCTCCTCCTCCTCCTCCTCCTCCTCCTCCTCCTCCTCCTCCTCCTCCTCCCTGAGCAGAGGCCTCCACGAGTCTCGGCCTGTCAACGGTTCTCACAGTCAGGAGTCTAAGTCGATGCGTTTGGGGGGTTGACAAGGCGGCCGTATCAAACCACCCCCCGGCCCTCGTTGTGTCCCCCTCCCCCTCTTCCCCCTCCTCCTTTCCCCGTCCTCCTCTCTCCCCTCCTCCCCCTCCTTCTCCTGGAGGGGCGCGGGGGCCAGGGGTTCGGTTTGGCGGCCGCACTGTTGATCCCCCGGTGGCTGAGCGGCCGCGTCAGGGGCAACGTACCCCACAAGGGGTACGGCTAACCCACGCCCTCCCCAGGAGGGCGCCCCCTAACAGGTTATGCTCGGGGAGGGGACTTGTGCTGTATGTTCGGGTGCTGGAGGATAGTGCCACATTGTGATCGTCCCTTCTCCTGGTCTTATTGTGAGTGCGGGGGCGGGACTGCTCAAACCTCCCCGGATTCCATGCCAGAGAGGGCGGTTGGGGCTACGGCTCTTCCCTCTCGGCCCCATCCGGGGGGCAGGCCGGGGGTGCCCATGGTCCAGGCGACCCGGCTTATTCTGTCTAAGTGTTCGTGTGCTTCTGTTGGCGGGATGCAAATGGGGGGATAAGTCCTGATGGGGAGAGAGGCGCAACCGAGGTACAATTTGAACCTACGCCCCACGGAGAAGGTCAATTTGTACCGACGCCACGCAGACAAGGTACAATTTGTACTTTTGACAACGTCCGCGACATGTGCGAGGATGTTAACGGGGGGGAGAAGGTACAATTTGTACTTGCAACCCGCAGAGAAGGTACAAATTGTACCCCAACAAAACAGTACCGGATACTCATCCCCCCATGTCCTGATCCCCCCGTCGCCATCCGGCCGATTCTGATGTGGTGCCCGTAGTGGACCCTAAGTAGCCGGTTGAGGCACTTCGGTGAATCAGGTGCGATCTGCGACGTGCGCACTGGAAACCCGACAACGAAGCACCGAAATATGACTTTGTGAGTTAACGTGTGGTTGCGTGTCTCAATAGATTAGTCTGGCCCCTGCGCATCGACGACACGCAAAGAAGAGAGTTGGGGCACAACGGTGTCGCGGCCTGCGCTAGTCCCGCGTCCACCCTCCTTGGTTCCAGGGTTACGGACAGCCCGGCTTGGGCGTTCGTCTTGCCGCGCTTCCGGGCCGATGGCCCCAGCGCCGATGGCCTTCTTTAAGGACCATCTGGGGGGAGCAAACTCACTGCGCCCGGCGCCGGATTCCTCTGGTCGCCTGCTCCCCCCAAACCCCTTCGCGGCGGGGCTTGTTGCAGGAACGCAGAGGGGGGTGGGGCAGCGGGCTGGCCTGGTCGCGGGGGGGGGGGCGGAAGTGGAGTAGCATATACCCTAAATAACGGATGTTTGGTTGTCTTTCTGGAGTGGGTTTCAGTGTTTTTGTCGTTGTTTGGGGTATCGGTCGGGTTTGTGACTCCGCTTCTTCACTCCCACAGGGGGCCATCATTCTCTGTTTTTCGTGTGTCGGGAGGTTTTTCCCTGCCGGCCCGGGGGCCGTTCGCGGCCGTCAACCCGGAGGACGAGGACGAGGACGAGGGAAAAAAAACGGCATGAGCGTGGAACTGTCAAAGGATCGCGCGGACCGAGGCGCCGCGGGGGGGGACCAGCTCCGATTGCAGAATTTATGATCATGCCGTTTCCTCTGAGCGCCCCCCCGCCCCTTAAGCCGCAGGGTTCGGTCCTACTCCGTCCGCCCCGCGGTAGCGTGCTTGTCCTCCCTCCTCCTCCTCCTCCTCCCCGTCCTCCGCCTCCTCCTCCTCCTCCTCCTCCTCCTCTCCTCCTCCTCCTCCACCTCCTCCTCCTCCTCACTCCTCCTCCTCCTCCTCCTCCTCCTCCTCCTCCTCCTCCTCCCTTTTCCTCCCAGTTCCTCCTCCTCCTCCTCCTCCTCCTCCTCCTCCTCCTCCTCCTCCTCCTCCTCCCCAGACCCCCGACTTCATGATTCGTTCACAGCGTGGACCCGCAGAGGTATCGGCCCCTTCCCCATGGCCGGCTGCTCTTCCTTGGCCATTTCTCGACGGTCCAAGGGCCCGGAGAGGGACCTGGGGGCCGAAAACTATCGTGGTTTGTTTGTCTGTCTGTCTGTCTGTCCGTCTGTCTGTCTGTCTGCCTGCCTGTCTGTCTGTCTGTCTGTGTGTTTGTTTGTGGGCGTGTATACATGCACACTAGAACCATCGCGCGCGCTTCGCGCGCGCTCAAGTTCTAGCTAGACTTGATGGGCTAACACATGGAACATCATGTTTGTCGCTACTTGCTTCCAAGGACTCTCGGAGGCCCCGAGGAATTGTGGGATTCCCCTATTTTTTTCAAGTTGCCGTGCCTGGGCTGTCTGTTAGAAGTATTATGGATGCAGGCCACGGTCTGTTGGGATGCCTCTCGGGGTCTTCTTGAACAAATTAGCAGGGGGGAATAGGAATTTCAAAAAAACTTGTTTTCAACTCATGGGATCATGGGATCTCGATTTCTACTGTGGTTTCAGGGGCAGCCAAGAGGACACGAAGACGGTCCAAAAGAGTGCCAAAACAGCGTCAGAGAGTTCAACAGCATTCCCGAAAAATCTGAGCATGTGACCCCGAAGTTTTGATGGGGCTCGAGGAAGAGGGTCCGGAATAGAAGTCCCAACTTGAAAAAAAAAAGAATCCCTGGAATTCCTTTTTTTCAAGTTCATCGGTCTTTGAGCGTTGGAAGCGGGAAAACGTGAGAAGGCGAAAAACGTAGAAAAAAACAATGGAAATCAACGATGTTACGGTCTTCGGGCTCTCTCGGGACGGCTCTCGAAGCTCTCTTGGGCTGTATTGGGGGCCTCGTCGGGGCTTTCTGGGGCCTCTCAGGGGTCTGGGGTGTGTTGGGGCCTCTGGGGGGGTCTGGAGTCATGTCGGAGATCTCTGGAGGCCTCCTGCTCCCGCCCTTGGGCTCATCTTGGGCCTGTTCTGGGGTGGTCTGGCGATGTCCTGAGCGCCTCGTCGGCAGTCTTGGGGTCTTCTTGGCCCGTCTTGGGGCCGTCTTGGGAGCCTCTTGGGCGGTCTTGGGGCGGTCTTGGGGGCCTCTTCGGCCGTGTTGGAGCGCTGGAAGCATGAAATGGTGAGGAGGCCAAAACCTTCAAAAAATACCAATGGATATGAACGATTTTAGGTTATCCGGGCGCTCTAGGGAGGCCTCCCAGAGCTCTCTTGAGATCTCTTGGAGGCCTCCTGGGAGACTGGAGAGCCGCCCGAAAGCTATCTTGGGTTGCTTGGGAGCGTCTTGGGCCGTTCTTTTCCGTTCTGGGGGCTTCTGAGGTCGACGAGCGCGTTCCACTACTCGCAAGAGTACCTACTCGCAAATGGCCTGAGTCCGCCGCGGGGGATTTACGCTCCATTACATCGAGGTAGCCATGATTTCTTCCGGACGTTTGCGAGTAGGCACGTTGCGAGCAGTGGAACACGCTCGGTGATTAGGGTCGTCTTGGGCTGTCCGTGGGCGTTCTGGGGGCTCCCCGGGAGGCCAGGAAGCGCGGTACCGGGAGCGTAATCCAGATGCCATCGAGGTGGAGAACGCCCCTTTAGGGGGCCCGGCCTATTATTTTATTACGTATACACATTTCGAAGAAACGTTGTGACTTGCCCTCGGCGCAAAGGGCCTGGATACTCCCTCCTCCTCCTCCCTTCTCGTCCTCCCCCTCCTCCCACCCCCCATGGAAGGGTCTGGGGGGGCCGCGGCGGCTCGGGCCCGCACGCGGCGGCCTCCAGGAGGTAGGCGGCGGTGCACGCGTCACCCTCGCCGACGGCGTAGAGGGGAGAGGGGGCCGGCAAGAAGGCACCCAGCCCCCCTGGTGTTCCTCCTGTGTGCTCCTCATCCTCCACCCTCCTCCTCCTACTCTTCCTCCTCCTTCCTCCTCCTCCT